ACCATTTGTGTTTAATTATTTTGGGTGCAGATGTTATATTGGAAGCGAAGAGATCATCAAAATTTATTTGGATATGGATTTATGTTTTAAATTTAATCATCAATTATATTTGGTTGTTGATTGCCATGTTGAAATAACTTATGATTAAATTAATTTTTAAGATCTCATTTCTTTTGAGACCTAAACCACAAATTTCTTCTTTTTTTAAATATCTTTTTATGCAGATTCAAAGCCTGAGCAAAAGTAAGCTATCTCATATTTAAAATGTTAGGTTTTTTTTGAATAATTTAAATATTTCTATTCATTATGTTTGTTCGTTCAATTTTAATGCATTTTCAAACCTATTTATGTTTAGTGAATCAACATAAAATTAAAGAAAAAAATTATTTGATTTTAATTCATTATATTGTGTGGGATAATTAACATAATATCTCTTATTGATTGAAAAAAAATGAAAAAATAGCATTCTTTTATTTAATGTTAGTCATTTTGATTAATTATAATTTTAGTATGCTTTTGTTACTCCACTTTTGGTTGTCTTAACTAACTCTTATTATCTATTTGCTATGCGATGATTTAAGATCAAAAAGATCAAGAATAATAAATAAACAACAAGATAAATGTTTGCTAATAAAATAATTGATTTGTATTTTTTTTTTAAATGTGATGTTAAAATTTTAAAATTAAATTTTCTATGATATCTTTAGCTCCTTATCTTTATCAAAAAAATTAAATTTGAATTCAAACACTAAACCTCCAAAACACATTATCTTTAAATTAAAGTTTCCATATAAATTTGAACAACCACCAACAAAATCCAACATTGGAAACAAACCCTCAACAACATCTTTTTTTTTTTGTTTTTTTTCCTCTTAACGCAGTAGTGGTCATAAAAATTTCTTTAAGGTATTAATATTTTATATCTCCTAACTCCAATAATTTATTTATTTTTCCTCTCTAGAGAAGATTATAATATACATAGAGCTTTACAAGCAATATCTCGAGGTTAATCATTTTTTTAATTGAAATCTATTTGAAGTCATAAAATGTCATGCAAATTTTTTTTCATCTTTATTCTATTGTATTATTTAATGATAGATCTTTTCAAGCAACATGTTCAAATTCATATAAATTTACATAGGGTCTATATATGGTTTTACATAAAATCTACTTAGGTCTATCAACTTTTTCATGCAATTGCTCTAGATTTATAAATCTTCGAATGCATTTTGTGATAGTACTTGAAAAGATTTTTTATTGAATAATTCGTGCATATTACAATTATCAATCACTTCATTTTAACTCACCATAATAAATATATACATGTATATATTATGCATGTTTCTTAAATATATCATTTGTCCCATAATATTTGGTATAACTACCGGCCTGGCTACCCTTTATTTTTATATGA